ATTTTAACAGCACACCACCTACCCTTGATTCCCTGCAACATTCAATCCGAGTATCATACTGAAATTATCCTTTCCGGAGTTTTGATTGATAATTCACGGTCCAAAAACTTTGAATTAATGCATTTGAGATCTTAAAATTCCATGTTTTAACAATAATCACGTTCCAAGAATCAAATCAATGGCAAGACAATGGACCCAGTCCTGCTTCAGTATCCTTTAAATCAAATCGTGACTTGTTATACACGCACGGCTTGTAAGAAAGCGAAGAAATTTTCAATACTTTGTTTCTCAGAAAAAATGGAACATTTCAATGTCTGCTTAAAGGATTACATTTAATATGAGTGCCGCAATGGCCCGTGATGTGATGCCTGGGAACGAATGGCTGTTTTCTTAAAAATTATTTAATCGAATGATATTTTAATCAGAGGGCTCGGTGAGCCGGATGTTTTATGCATATTAGGCATGCTAAGTGGTAATTATGAGCACAATGTCAAAGTAGAATGTCTCAGTCGAGGTGTTTATCTTAGATTTTTAAGACAATTATTGGTTACGTGAAAGTGCCATGAAAGTATCGTTATGGCTCATGCTAGTCAGTCCTAACTATGATAGGTTCATTAACTGAACATTGATTCGGTTGATCGGAAGCATGTAGTTCGTTGTTGCTCTTTTGTGAGATATCTATGGAAGTGTTTGAGTTGTTTTATTTAGACAACAATTAATTAGTCTTCCAAGGTCATTTGGCCAGCATGCCCTCTCGGGCCTACCGACAGAAACTACGGCTTCAAACGTTCCAAACTACAGTGGTTATTGGTAAATACTAAGAAAGTGAATAACGTCGCGGAGGGCGCGCTCTGATTGGCTACTCAATTAATTATCTGCGGTAATAACAAATTTGACGTTAAATAATTTGAACACGCAGTGAATTGATATAATGCCAAATGTATGATTCTTTTTCAAAGAGTACGGTCAAACCGGAAAAACGGAAGATTGCCTTCTTCCTAAGGAACCAGGCTTCTGCAAAGCGTATTTCTTGCGATATTACTTTGATAAGTGAATAAAGGGGTAAGTTTCTAAAGAAACTGTGGTGCTGCGTCGGTGGGAGAGTATAGCAGGTAATTTAGTGTTAACAACTGAGTTGAAAACGTAAATTAGCCACTGTAAAGGGTAAAAAAAGCTTACGTTTCGAGCGTTAGTCCTTCGTCAATCGCTCTGACGAAGAGCTAACGCTCGAAACGTCAGCTTTTTTACCCTTTATGGTGGCTAATTTACGCCTTCAACTCAGTTGTTAACACTAAATTACCTGATATTACTTTGATAAGGCCAGCGGTCAGTGCAAGAGGTTCTCTAGCGTGGTTGCCAGGGAAACGGAAATAACTTTCTCAAGCAGGAATGTGAGAAAAGATGCAAGTGATCAAGAAAATCCCTATTTCGACGCGAGCTGAATATTTGTAGCGGTTACATGCATGACGGGAGCATTAACGGAGGTTTAAATGAAGCAATCTAGGTGGAAGTTTTGGCGATGCTAGCATTTATTTAGTAATCTATCTTTTTTTTCTGTCCATTCAAGGTACATGCTTTTTCCCTAAGGAAACTGGACCGTGTAAAGCCAAGATCAGTAGATATTACTACAACCACCGCACCGGAAAATGCGAAAAGATCTATTACGGAGGTTGCATGGGAAACGTAAACAACTTTAAAAGAATTCGACAGTGTGACAAAACCTGCCCTTGTAACTGAAGTTGTTCAAGATAATTTTGGTATCATCAACATAGTTAATAATGTAAATTTGCCACCGTAAAGAGTTTCAAAGCTGATGTTTCGAGCGATAGCCCCTCTTCAGAGCGAATGATTGCTTGCAGGTCATTGTCTGGTTGTACGAAAACAATGAGCCTCAATAATAACTATTATAATCGGTACAAGCCACACGTACAAAAAAAAAATAAAAAATAGGTAGTATGAAGGCCAAAATAATGCATTTCAATAGAAAGCCATAATTAATTTTGCCTTGCGTTTGTTAGCCTCGCCATGGTACATGTAGATTTTGTTGTCATTTTGTTTGTTCAGCTGTTAAACCAAAGTCAATTTGCCACCGGCCGAAAAAAGAAGGACCATGCAGGGCCCGGATCCCTCGATATTTTTACAACAAGCGCACTAAAAGATGTAAGAAGTTTTATTTTGGTGGATGTCGCGGTAACCAGAACAATTTCAAGAAACTTAAGGAGTGCAGGAGCGTTTGTGTCTGTAAGTTTATAAATTTTTGTCTAATCATTTTTGGACGTAAATTACTCGCAAAAGTAAAAGAACCCCCGGGAAAGGTTCTTGAGTGACAAACCATAATAATGTTATAATGAGCGAAAACCATCCTTATGCCTTTACCCTGATGGATTCATCATAAAACACACGTTTACCTTGCACAAGTTGACGAGTTATAATAGTGCGTGTCTGCCATAAACAAAGATCATTTTTTTTTCTCGTAAATGATGCACAATTTGACAACATCTACGTTAGAATTATGAAGAGATTCATAGCAGCATTGGGTTGATATGTTTTTTGAAATTTTTTAGAAAGAATGTATTTTTATAAGAGCATAAAGTCGTTAAAGCAACTAATCAAACTTCTCCCAGCATGCATTCACAAGTGAGATCAGTTATCTTTTCGGGAAACTTGAAATCATGATTTAAAAACATTTTTTTGTACTACATCATTGTAGATCCTTCTCCTAAAGTGTAACTGGCACCATGCGTGTACATCAGGAGCCCAGAGGATGATTTCGTTTCTTTTGCATCAAAATTAAGTAACTTAAATACTGTCCTTTCAAAACTTAGCACAATTAGTGATATAGGCGTTTTTTTTTTAAAAGGAAACTCACCTGTTGTTAAATCATCAAGAATGCTTTGAAATTTGTAGCCTCAATACAAACTTCTTGTAACGTCGTAATAAAGTTTCTAATCTGAAATAAATTAAAAAAATAATTTTATTTTCAGTTTGATTCTCATTATGTGAATTTCCGATCATTTTGGGGTTATTGACGAGGATGTTTCTCTAAAAGTCATTCTCATACCCGAATTTACCTCTCGGGGGCAGGACATGACCCAGAGAAATGTGTAATACTCACAATCTTAATCTTTTAGAGAAGTTTTTCCTTCCCAATACAATGCTCCTCTGGGATGAAAACCACAGGAACTAAAAAGAGCTAAGTGGTCATACGATACCTCAGCCTTTTAAAAGCACAAGATTCAAATGAACCAACACAAAAACGAGGCCCATTTTTTTTTTAATTCAAAACTAGTTCAGAGTTTTGGGTTGAATTTTAAAATGAGACTGTTTACCCCCAAATAAGCTTTTGCGGTTTCTCCTTTTGCAGAACATAACCATATTTAGATACTTACGGGAGCCCACATACGAGATTGAGCTACCTCCGATGAGGAATAACTTTGTGACGCTATGATGAACTCGTATTCAGTTTCTCTCTGACTTAAACCCTCTGGCTTAACCCTCAAAACGTCAGTTTTAGAAACTCAACCAAATTATTTTGTTGTACTCCCAACCGACGCAGCACCACAGTTTCTTTAGAAACTTACCCTCCTTATTCCTCATGTTTTGATTATAGCACGCCTTGCTGGTTGTTAAAGCCTCTGATGCTTGAAAACTTCTTAAAAACTTTGATCATTAATTTTGAAAATCTTTGCGGAGACGAAATTTAGCCGAGCTGTTGCAGAGACTCAGTTTATGTATCAACCTGCTGTTGCAGAGACTCAGTTTATGTATCAACCTGCTGTAACACGTAACGCCGCTTAACCCTTTCTACTCTAACATCAGTATGCATATTCTCCATACTTTTCCGTATACATCCCCTTAAGTGCTGATGAGGAGAACTTGTTTCATAATCCGCAGCTACTCTGGTTGGTGACCATTTCCTCAATGTGTGATTTGGGGGTAACATTGTAAGGAGAAATTAGACGCTGGTCACTCTTCGGGGTTTAAGGGTAAAAATTCTGTTAGGTTTCTCTACCATAAAGTGAGTGTTGCCACTCCTCATGGTCAGGAGTTCGATTCATTTCGATAAGTATCCCCGAAAGCCTGGTGGTACTCATTGATTTCCATGAGTGGAGTGTAGCAGTGAAAGGCATGAGACGGCGGAGAAGGCATACCTGAGATCCTTCCCAGAGCTCTTGAGTCTGACGCGGTCAGAACTGGGGCACCGCGTCTCCCACTTACAATATCAAGCGAAAAGAAGTCAAATTCAGAAATGTAAATTGTGCATGCTGAATAATTATGTTTTTCCTCTTTATTTCAATAATCGGTAACTGCTCTACATTACAATGCTGTAGCGATTCATTAAGAAAAAGCTAAAAAATAGAGCACTCAACTGACCAAATACAAGATCAAGTACGAAGAATATCATACTGTCATGGGAGTCAGCAAAAGCTTCAGAAAACATTTATTCTAACGTTATGATACTGTGAAGAACTTCTTTTGCAACCGAGACACTGAAATGTGGCGGGCAAATTAATCGGAAGACTCTGCAAATAAACAAAATTGTTCAATATTAACTCAATCTTCTCTCACTCAAATGACAAAATCCAATGATGTTGATCAAATTGACGAAACTTAAGAAGGTTATGTTATTAAACGAAAATTACTCCTCTAATTTTCACAAGAAACGCAAACAAATTGGTTTGCGCTATCATTTTTGGAAAAAGAACCTTCAAAGTCTTCCTCGCTATCGAGGAATTCACGTCAAATTCACTTTTTAAGAAGTTTTCCATGCGCAAATGAAGGGGTACGTGCTTCTTTATGAACATGTTGTTGCAACGTCTTTCAGCAGGTTTAACCATGATAATAGTTCCAATCTTCGCACGGTATCAGTCTTTTAATAAAGTTTTCGAGCCCAATTAGTCAGTTTTCCAACAATGTCCCTGTGTCGGTTTATTGACGAGTTTTTATACTGTACATGTATCGTTACTGTAAAGTACGTTATTGCTGACCTTTCTCCGTTCGATTTTCATTTCCTTTGCTTATTGCCATTTTAAATCACTGTAAGATTTATGTTATTTTTGTTGTTATTTTTCAGAAACCAATTGTTAAGTAAAAGGGATTAGTGTCAAATTAGTTTCCTGAACAGTTGATATGCGAGAACAGTTTGTGAGTTGCATAGCGATAGCAAAGCCAACATAAATGCATGAGATTGAGCTTCGATGCTAAAATTATTTTCACTAAAGTTATTAATTATTAATCCAACCGGCTACTGAAAACTTGATCATAGAAAAATTAAACTCCTAAATCTCACTGTGGTTATCGTTCCCCGGCTTCCGTTCACTATGGGTTCATAAACAGCTAATAGGCGAACATAGACATACAAGGTAAAAACAAATCTTTAATTTAACTCACTGCATTTCCTGTCAAAACCGTTTTCCATTTGGGCGTTATCTCGTTACTTCGCCCCACCTTAAACAAAAGCAAGACAAGAACTAAATCTCAAGGGCTCCTTAGAGCACTCCGTGCCACTATTGATTTTCCTACGTTACCCGCTAGCAAAAGCAAAGCTCAAGATCTATAACCTTTTTTTCCAAATTTCCTCACTCTAGTTTAATACCTTCATCCTGTCAGCATACAGGGGCCTTCACACATTTCAATCCAAGGTGTGACAATTGATATAACTCGCCAGCTAGTTTAACTGATAAGTGTATCTATCGTGCATTTCTCACAAAGCAATTTTATGTCCCTTCAATATCTAAATCAAGATGACTTAGATATAAAGACATATCTAAACTTATCTTTTTTTTAAATCCAAGAAACTTACAAGTTTGTTGGCATTCTTTCAAAGTTTTAAAATTATTTTCATTTCCTCCGCAACCACCGTAGATGAACTTCTCACACTGACTGCTGGCCTCATCAAAGTGGTATCTCGGAAAGTATCCTCTGCAGTGTCCTGTCTGAGGTGGAAGGGAACATATACCTTGGAAAAAAAAAACAGCAGAGAGTTTTCTCTCTATTCTCTGCACAGAGCCAGAAATGAAGACAGATGTTGATCAATGCTTCACCAGCCTCCCGTCCCATCCCGTTCCGAGTCCCATTGTCAGGATTCGAGCCCCAGTTACTTTTTTCTAGTCAGATGCTTAGTCAACGGAGCTATAATTTTGAGGACACAGACAGACTCAGGCCGATATATTGCTCTTCCCAGCTTGGGATTGAATATAGCTCTTTATAAAGGCGTCAGACTCTAAAATATTCCAAGTTTTCACACAAGCTAGGGCACTTATAATATATCTGATAATGGTAGCGTACAGGGACCAGATAACATCTACGAATGGAATCATGATGTGAAGGGAAAATAACTCGTTAAGAATTGTATGATTATACAAGGGGTTATTAGAGCACTCCGTGTCACTGGTGATTTTCCCACGTTACCCGATAGCAATAGGAAAGCTCAGTATTTATAACCTTTTTTTCCAAATTTCCTCTCTCTAGTTTAATACCTTCATCCTGTCAGCACACAAGGGCCTTCACACATTTCGATTCAAGTTGTAACAACTGATATAACTCGCCAGCTTGTTTAACTGATAAGTGTATCTATCTTGCATCACTCACAAAGCAATTTTGCCGTCAAGATGGCTTAGATATACAAATACATCTAGACCTATATTTTTTTGAATCCAAGAAACTTACAAGTTTGTCGGCATTCTTTCAAAGTTTTAAAATTATTTTCATTTCCTCCGCAACCACCGTAGATGAACTTCTCACACTGACCGCTGGCCTCATCAAAGTGGTATCTCGGAAAGTATCCTCTGCAGTGTCCTGTCTGAGGTGGAAGGGGACATATGCCTTGGAAAAAAAACAGCAGAGAGTTTTCTCTCTATTCTCTGCACAGAGCCAGAAATGAAGACAGATGTTGATCAATGTTTCACCAGCCTCCCGTCCCATCCCATTCCGATTCCTATTGTCAGGATTCGAGCCCCAGTTAATTTTTTAAATTCAGATGCTCAGTTAACTGAGCTATATTAAAGAACAAAAATAGACTCAGGCCGATATATTGCTTTTCCAAGCTTGAGATTGAGTATAGCTCTTTATGGAGGCATAAGACCCTAAAACTTAGCAAACTTATTCCAAGTTTTCACACGAGCTAGGGCACTTATAATATATATCTGATAATGGTAGCGCACAGGAACCTGATCACATCTACGAATCGAATCACGATGTGGAGAGAAAATAACTCGTCAAGAATTATATGGTTATACAATTATATTCAATTGACAACACAAGGACAAGTTGCATGGTCAGTTTCTTTTACATTTCCCCCTTTTTTCTACGATTAATTTGAGCCCAAAATCTCCAAATTCAACAGTCAATCTAAATAAACCGCTCAGCGATACGACTTCCATGTAGGATTTTGATATTTGTCAATAAGTTTCAGAGACTTTGAAATAAGTTTTAGTTGTATTTCCAAAGAAATCACAAATTCAAAAACTAATTTCAAGTTGTTTTAAACTCAGGACACTTACACGTTTGTTGGCATTCTTTCAATGTTTTGAAATTATTTCCATTTCCACCGCAACCACCATAGATGAATCCTTCGCAGCGACCTTTTGCCGCATTGTAATAAAATCGTGGGAAACGTCCTCTGCAGAATCCTGTCAGTTTTGGAAGGCGACAATTGCTCACACCTTGAGAGGCCATCAAATCTTTAAGAAACAAAGACAAAAGCTAATTTGGTTAAAACAAACAAACAAACAAACAAACAAACAGCAACAACATCATAAAATGAATAACCAAACAAAAACTGAATCAATCTCTCTTCATGTACTGTAGATTATACGCAAGAACGAAACACGATAAAATAACAGCCCACGTAACGTTCGGTCTCTAAAAAAACTTATTCATTTAAGATCGATCGACGAAAGATCAGATATTTGCAATATCTATTGGGGTGATGGCTTTATAACTATTTCTTTACCAAGCCCAAAACTTACTATCTGTCTTATTCTATTTACAAACATGACGCTATCGACATTGCTGATCCTAGCAGTATGCTGGACGAGTGTCATATGACCTTCGTAATAGACCTCATCGGAGGTCTAAGGGTCGATTCCTCATGGGGACTCAGAATTTTTCTTTGTCCCACGCTCGTGATAAGACGAAAAACATCTCTCTCTATATCTTTTGATTGTTTTCACCAGTTCTTTTTATTGTTTATAGTTAACTTTATTTACGACCAACCGTCTGACAGTTAACCCATTGAGACCCTCCTAGGAGTAAAAAACTACGTTAGATAACTTGGTTTATCAACTGGATCGATAACGGAAATTGGTCACTCAACCGTAGAGAGTTTCTACGACTGGGGTTTCGAGCGTTAGCCCTTCGCTCCGACGAATGGGTGACGCTGGAAATCTTAGTTGTCCAAACTGGCTACGGTCGGATAGCCATGGCCAATTTACATTATCAACCAAGATATTTAAATAATTATTGATGCATTTGGGGACCTGGTTACTTTTATCCTTAGTTTAACTCTCTACTGCTGACAACTAGCCTTACAACTACAAATCGTTTATGATTCAAAACTGAATGTAAAGATAATCAGGGGGAAAATCCTGTTGGTAAAGACTTTCCTCAGTGTCTGACATGAAAGAAATACATTTACAAGCTGAAACAAACTAAACACTATGCGTTCTGTGATTGCAATTTGTCTTGACCTACCAGTGCTCGGGCGCGTGGAGATCGGTGTACTTTTTTCAAGGTTTTATCCAAAATGGTGTACAATACTTGCGAAATTAGTGGGAATTAATCAAATAATGACAGTAGCTTTTTATGACTTGTATGAGCCAGCGGAAATAAATGAGTCGAAGATTTTTATTGAAAGAACTGTTTATAAGCCCGAGGTCCTTTGAGGTCCTTTAAGGAAAGCTTTCTCTTTTCCTCACTTGTGAAGATCGACTTTTCTCAATACCGCGAGAGAGGTGGTACATCGACCGAAAAATGATCAAGTTTCTTTCCCAGAGTTGTTTCTGATTTCAAGAAAATTCACGAAAACTGAAACGAGCTGTGGCGGAAATCAATGCCCCGAGTAGAGGCAAATGGATACCTATGAAAAGCGCGAAAAAGAAGCAAGCTCAAAACAATTTAATGAATTTGTATTAGAGGGATACAAATTATCAAAAACTGGACCATTTCATTTCAATTTGAGCTCACAGTACGTTTTTGAAAATCGCCAACATTTCAAAATTTAAGTATAGCTTTTCGCAGAAAATGTTAAATTAACAATTTCCCTATGTGGTGGTACTCAGAATTAGTGCAGGTTAAACCCTTGATAAGGTGAAATAATTTTGTTTTCCAGGATACAAATATTAGTGTGGGGGCTTTTCATTTCCCCACGGACAAAATCGGGCTGAATTTGTAAAAAACATCACATCATAAGCTCGTTAAGCAGCCCGTTTTTCAATCCGGAATTCCAAGCGAATTTTAACATTTAGCACCGCATTAGATCAAGAAACCGATACAATAAGCTAACCTTGCATATTGGTGCTACTCGGTGAATTTTTTTAAAATTTGTATACATCCGAAAGCTCCGTCTCTAACGTCTTGTCTTTACTAGTTAGCAGGGCACGTTAAATGACCTATGCAATTTCTACTAAGAGTAGGGAACGTAAGTGTTTTGGTGTGACCTTGTTTTCAAAAACAAAATTACAAACATTATGGGCATCGGCAAAATTTCTTTTCAAGCATTGTAAACTGCTCAATGTAGTCTGGCGTAATTCCTCCGCATAGTGTTGTGAAGCGTATTAGAGCATACAAATATGGAGAATGCGCTATAGAAATGCGTCCTCATCATATCCCAATAGTCTTAGTCCAAATACAGTGTAGACCAAGTTATCAATTACACCTAATGGCACCCAAGTATAACGAAAAAATATGTGCAATGAAATATACAAGTTAAAAAAGAAATTATCAACACTCTAATACCCAAATTCAAGAAGAGCAGCAAAGCAACTGAAAGTATGGCTGACTTCATTTCTTCTTGTCTTTTTGTCCAATTGCAACTTCTCTGTAGAAATGAAATGAAATCAAGTAAGCTAAATGGAGCAGAACTAAAACTTCTCGAGCTCGTCATGTTCTAAACAAACGCTGAAGCATATAAACAGAGCAAATATTACCTTTGATTGGACAGTCTGATCTTACGAAGCAACTTGGATGTGCTCTCTTTGTAAAGCGTCGATGTTCTGATGCAATCAAGTTGAATGCACAAGATAAAAAGTGTCTCAGCGTAATCAACTGAAATGAAAGGATATAAAACAATTAATTCTTTGAACCTTGAAGTTCTTTTGTTCGCCTATTTACCATACCGTTGCTATGAGACACTACATCGAGGCCTTGCTCCACTTTTTGCTGAAATCCTTGCCCAAACGCAATGGCCTTCTATACATTAGAAGTTCAGTCGGTATTTTATATCGTGCTTTGTACCACAAACTTGAAATCAAGCTTATCAAATTCAATAGACCAGCACGAAATGTGTACAGCATTCTGCCTGTTTCCGGCCCCTTTGCTTATTACCTTAAACTTCACCGAATGAGACGATAATTACGCTTTGTTACCATTCTTGTGGTGATCATTCATAATCTACAGCTGAGGGCAAAATTGGCTTCTTGCCTTCCTTTTGTTTCAGGTGTGGTTATTAATTGCGCCTAGTGATTGCTATGTGAGGGAAAGGAAGACATAACAGCATAATTTTCATATCTGGTGCCTTTACCATGCGTGATCTAAGCTTGTTGATCTAGAGTTCATACTTTCATAACTACGATCTACTCGGGCGCACTGGCGCCTCGAGTCACATTTAAGTGAACGAGAAGGTGGAGTGTGAACTGATAAAACCTAATTCAACCCTCAAGCTACTTTCATTGAAAACCAACACCCACTTCCATGTTTGACGAAGTAAAGCCCACACGTCTAGACACTATATTGCTACGAATTTGATATTTTTAGCAGCACACATACCACTGTGCGTTATCAAGGGTAACACCAATCACATTGCAGCAGGTCTATAAATATTTGATGTATCAATGTTGTGCAAGGCTTGCTTCAAACGAGTCAAAATTCTAAATTTGCCAAAGTTAACATAAACAAAACAGATCTGCAAAGAGCGGAAATTGCATTCGACTCGGCAAGATTTGCGCTCAGCCCCACTCTTCGTCAGCATACAGTTCTTGACCGAAAAAGTAACAGGGAAAAGAATAGATGGCCTTCGGAACTACGGCTTGGATTTAGTACAATAGGGGGTTATAATAACATCTCTTCTTTAACTCCCACGTCGCTTTCATTAAAAGCTAACGCCTATTGGCTGACTGGCTAACGCCTATTGGCTGCATACTGAAATTATCCTTTTCGGAGTTTTGATTGATAATTCACGGTCCAAAAACTTTGAATTAATGCATTTGAGATCTTAAAATTCCATTTTTAGCAGTAATCACGGTCCAAGAATCAAATCAGACAATGAACCCAGTCGTGCTTATCCTTTAAATCAAATCGTGACTTGTTATGCACGCAAGGCTTGTAAGAAAGCAAAGAAATTTTCAATACTCTGTTTCTCAGACAATCCGTTTGGTCTAAATGGAAATTTTAGGATATACTCACTTCATGAAGCAGAAACTTAGGATGTTTAATTAAGCTAATCCAATTGAAAATTAAAAAATATAAATTCCACCAGTTTACCTTCTGAGTCAAAGAAGAGCATTATCGCTTTCTTAAAAGCCTTTCCTAGAAACGTGCTTTTCAGGCGAATAATGAGGCTAAAGCCGTCGGGCACATTCGCTATTTTGTTTTTGGTTCTCACCGCCGATTATTCTAGAATCAATGGCGGTATTGCAACATAATGCATATTTACTCGACCGGTAAATTGTGAATGTATATGAAACTTTCAGATGGTCATTTGAACAGTATTTTTGCTTGAGTGGGTGAAAAAACCGTCGACAAATATATCCGTGATTTCAAGTGAGTCTCTTTTTAAAACCTCATTTGAATTCCTTTGTATTACTCATTTTATCAATAAAGGGCAAAATTACTGAGCGCTGATTGGTTGAGAGAGAGAGCATTTTTTTCTTAATCGAGGGCATTTTTAGTAATCAAGAGAGGGCATGATTACCTTGTTCAGTTAAAAGCACTTTGTTGTTTTTCTGTTGGCAGAAACGCTCTGTTGAAATGAGCTTTGTTTTCTAGACTTTTGGCAGTGTATCACGACACAGTTTTGGAGAATAAAATTTCATTGAATCGATTGGTCAGTTCAATTTGATTGATGATTTGCCGTAGCGCTAAACAGGCTTCCCAGATAAAAATAGACTGCGCGCGTGATTTTCCTTCGTATAAATTTTGCCCTTTATTGATAAACAAGTAATCCCATAAGACCTCGTACTATTAAGGATTAATTGCACTTGAGTTTTCAAAATTTTCCAAATTGCCCTCGTCGCTTCGCGACTCGGGCAATTTTGGAAAATTTTGAAAACTCTCGTGCAATTAATCCTTAATAGTACTTGGCCTCATGTGATTACATATACTAATCATTTTGGAGACTACATTTCATATTCGTTTTGTATGATGTTTAATATATGTACAAACCTATTGCATGATTATAATACAAAAAAGTGTTCAGGCTGCCCACCGTTAGTTAGATTACTTTCAATATATTTAGTCTGAAGAGTGCAATGGGAGTTGGATTCAGTAAACAGGCTCCCAGGTAAAAGAAAGCCATCATGCGTAGTGTAGTCGGGCTGGTTTCTCCGAATATCAAAATATTTCCTTTTCTTCATACACGGCACAAACAAAAACTCTTCAATATATTTACGAAATATTTAAGGCGATATTGCGATACTAAGTAACAGCATTATTTACAAGCCAAGTAATTGTGAATCTTCAAGTCTTGTCTTATTCAACTTTTCATAAAACCAGTTTCTTAAACGCTCGCTGTCTTCTTTGAGCTTCAGATTATATTTCTTCCTTAGATATGAAATATAACTCTCCTCTTTCAGAGTCATTTTCTCACATAAATATTTGTTCATGTTTGGAATCCTGTGTTCATTTAGTTTGATTTCCATTTCTCCAGTATCACGGTTTGTTTCCAGCGTGTGAATACATTCCTTCTCGAGACTATTCACTTTGTTACGTAGCTTTGTAACTTCTTGATAAAAGGTTTGGTCTTGCGCAGAAATTTTATTCCAGAAACTTTTGTTGAAAAAGTCGTATAACGCAGCATCGGCATTATTCCATTCACTGATTTGCATCTGAAAGAAGAGTAAAGCAAAAAGGAATCGTGTCTGGTCAGTATTTAGCAAGTAGATTCCATGTTGCCTTCAGTGATTTTTTCTATGTCTGTTCTGTGATATTTTGTCGATGGCGTCAAAATGCCGGTAATAACGAAAAAAAGGGGCATGCAAGGCGCGGTCAAGAGATTATTATTATTCTCTTGGCGCAGCCGAGTGTGGTGCTCAGATATTCCTTTAACAAATTCTACGTCTTCTGTGATCTATTTTTGTACAGACCAACGGCAACTTGAAGTTTGTTTCATTTTTTTTTTCATAAAAAAATTCTGTCAATGGCGACACTGTTTATGCTTCTATCCTTCAATGGATCTTGAGTAAATAAGAATCATTCAAATTGTGTTCATACATGTTATTCCACTTATCATACAAAATCTGATCGATTTAAATGAACGTAGATTTCCTTCTCAGCAAGTTCATTTAAGTTTGTGCTTTTTGATATTGTGGAAAGAAACTGTTTCCAGTTGCTTTCTAAAAAGTTTTAATAAAAAAGTGCTTTGATAAACAAATGGAATAATGAGAATGTACAGAAATAGGCAATACTGCTTACCTTTTGCTGATCTGTTATGTTTGTTTCTTTGTACTCAGGTGATCTTTGATTCAGTTTGAAATAAACAACATCATCTAAATCCCAACAGAGTTCTCTTTTGAGTAAAACAAGAGATTCGTCAAAATATTCCATGATAAGCACTAAGTCTATTTTCTCGGCCAGGTCACCAATGTACTTCTCTATCATCACTGGATCATTGTAATATTTGTGCTGAAGGCCAAGGTCGAACATTTGTCCTGAAGAGAGCGCGGACATTACGTTTAGGTTTCATTATATACATAATTAATGCGGATGTATATAGGCACATTTTTGTTTGAAGCACTTATAGAAACACAGATATAAATAAATGACTTTAAAGAAGGAAAAAATCAGGCAGTATTAAAACTTAGTGTAAAATTTGCAACGCATGACCAGCCCAGCGAAATCAACGGAATCTTCGACAAGTTAAACGACAGTTTACAATGCAATGTACTCACTGTGGTTAAGAATTGAAGAAAATTGGCGTTAACTGTTTGCTTATTTCAAACGTTGATCTTATGTGCGTATAGCTCATCAAAACTCCAGCAGAAAAATCATTCAGATAAATATTTATGATCATGTCTCGACTTATCACTTACCATTCTTTACCATGTTAATGTTGATATCAAATCGTGGCTCCTGATGAAGATACTGTAACAGATACTGCTTGGGTTTGGTCAGAAATGCATCAAATGGGTCGCTGTAATTGTTCATACCGAGCAAATCATCAATTTGATATCCGTAGAAGACAGATTCAAAATGATTCGTTGGTTTCCTTATAATTGCGATGTAGTAAGAGTCCTGCAAGAATAGTTATTGGGTCAATGAAACAATGTCTTGTGTTAGTGACTGTTGGGAAGATGGGAATCAAATTTAATTTTGTACTGAATCCAGTACGGTTCAAACTTACACGGCTGCTCTTACAATTTATTCTGGCGCTGATTGGTGTGTTTGCTTCAGAAAGATTCCAAATTGTATTACAAAACAGCAAAAAAAAAAAAAGGAAAGAAATTTGATATACCATAAAAGAATGTGAAAGGCAAGACAAACAAAGAAACAACCGAAACAACAAGAAAACAAACTCCAAAGCAAAACAAATAGATATACAATAAGAAAGAAAGTGAAAGGCAAGTAGACCGACTAACAACAAACAAACAAGCAAGTAAACAAGCACAAGGGATAGAGCTCGTAGGTATGAAATATGACCTTCTTTTAAAGCTGCTGTGTGATAAGGAAAATATCTTCAGCGAAAGGCCCCATATGGATTTGTATAATTCAGTCTTAAGCTGGACTAATGAAAGCCATTTTACGCCAACATTGGTGAGTGATGGGAGAATAAATCACTCAGAGAGCAACTAGTTTTGTCAACGTTAACGACTGGATGGAAGTCCCATTTTCAGCGTTGTTATGGAATGCAAAGTGGCGCATAAAGGAGTCAACCTCTATCTCCACTATTCCCCAAAGGCTGCATAATTATTTGAGTCTGTATCAGGCAAGTATTAGTTACCTTTGGCATGAAGGATGCTATTGTATCTGGGCTGTATCTGGCATTAATGAGTAAGTTTGGAGCAGTTGAATTAAGGTACTTTTTGTCCACGTAGCTTGGATTAAAGTGTAACGGCCAATAGAAATCGTAGCTTTTCTGTTTAGGAAGAGCAAAATCCAGGTCGTTCAAGTCGCCATATCTGTACAAAATATTAGCAAGTGTTCCACTCCCAGTTCGGTGAGTCCTTAAAAGCACTAAGTTCACGAATGGACCCTTTAAGGCACAGGGAATCCTAAAAAAATGAGCAGAGAAGAAGTTTTTAAAAGTCGAAATGCGGTGTCCAGTGTTCAGTCGTAAATTTGTGTCTCATAGCTCATATGCTCTTTACAGATCGATGTTCAAAGAGTAGCTCCAAGAAATTGCTCCATGCAAAATCTAATATGGCCACTACCTGAAGAGACTACGGCCTTGTTCAGTTGCAGTATTTTGCATTAATTTAATGGAATTTAATAAGTTTAAATGGAGTTTACCTTCTAAAAAACATCGAGAACGGCTGATTTGATCTGGATCGTCTCAGTCGTTCTTCTTGGCTCAAATGCAAATACAGTCCCCATAGCCGAAATAGTTTTATCTATGCCATGCATGATTGAGCCAAACCATGCATGCTCCTAGCTGGAGATAGGTTTGGTAATTGAAAAAATTCAGTTAATCTTATAAATTTGTCGGCTTTAATTCTGCTTAACTGAGGTACTGCGACCACTGGGGACCTAAGACAAGTTTATGGAATGACTTACTCCAAATCAACCTTTATTTTATCAGACTATGGATTAAATTATTACCTCTTGGGTTCTTCCTGGACCTCATCCCATCCCATGTTGTAGTCAATACTTTCGTCTCGCTCAGCGTCACTTTTAGCATCGGTTTCGTCATAAATATTCATAAGACTGTCATTGCTCACAGATCTCGTCTGTGAGCTGTCACTTGAATTATTACTGTCCGCGTCGAAGTTTTCACTGGTTTTGTCAATTACACCGCTTTTTGCTTCAATGTAGTTGGATTCCTCTGAAGAGTCCAGCGCTAAACGATAGCCTTTCTTATCCAAGTAAACAAGCTGTGAAGGTCTATATCAAGTACATTGAAAATGGGTCAAGGTAAACTAACATTGCCATGTGACAACTTGTCATATCATCTTGTTTATGATTCGATCACGCGCTTTCCGGCGTCAGTGCCTGTTTAACGGACAAATGGACCGAAAAGAAAACTTATTATTGCTGAACGTTTCTTGCAATAGGCCACTACGTTTGTTCCTCTTTTGTCAATAAATCATCTGTGACACTAACTCTATTTCCGAGCAGATGGAGGGCAATTTTTCACAAATAGAGGTGTTCAGGCTTCAATAAAGGGACAAGCGAATAATATGTGGTAGACATGCAATGAGTTTTTTTCTACTTTAGAATTCACACGCAAACAAAAAAACCTTATATCTGTGGCTGATTTTGCTTATAAACGGTGATACATATTACGGTTGACAGCCCCGTACGATTTGACTGAACGACCCGTAACAATTTACTTGACACGATCCGATCATTTGCTTTAATTTTCTAGGTATCTATCTCTGCTCTTTTGTAATAACATGATACGTTCTTACCTTACAGAGAAAAATTCAACGTATTTGATATCAAAAGCGTGGTGATCTCCATCTCCCTCTTTGTCTTTGTTTTGATGAATCACTTTTGTTCTCGACGCCAGATAGAGTAGTATTGGAAGACACATAAATAAGCCTCCAACTACCCAGGGAAAGTAAGAGTTTCGACTCCTCATCGCTTTGAACCTATGTTTTCGCTACCCAAGCATGACACTTGTAACAGTTTCTTCATAACAACGCCGCGTATCTTTTCAGTAATTTTAACTTAAATGTTTATGTTACGCGAGGCTGCTCATCAGTAAACATCGTAGCGTAGAAGCAGGTTGTGCTGGTGTCGCATCCAAAAAACTACAACGGTTTCTAAGTACTACTGGTATCTCTGTACACACAGCCGTTCCCATTAACTGTCAAAAAAAAACTCATCCACTTAAAGAAATGTGATTCTCTTCAATTTAAATCTCAGTTATTGTCGTGGTCCAAAGCTTTCCAGACTCCGAGCAAAAATCTTGAACCAAAACAGGCGAACGCCTCTTCTTGATTTTTAAGAACTCGAGAAACACGTCTCCAATTTGAAGATTAATTACGTTTGGTATAAACGGTTGAGGTTCTCCGAATTAATCAGTTCGACTCTCACTTAAGGTCGCTCCCTCAACCGCATTTGTACGAAGAACTCATATCCTGCCAAGAGTTTATCTTTTAAATGTTGACCAGCGGCTTTCCAGCATTTCAGAGCCGCACACAAGAAAAATGGTTTGCTTGTATCAGACAAGGACCTGGTAAAGGACATTTTCATTCAGTCTTTCGAATTGAAATTAAAGAAAGTGAAAAAGAACTTCTTTAGGGTGATTGGCAACCGCGAACTATTTTTGATGTTAGGTGACACCTATTTCTTGCTTTGCTTTCCTCATTCTATTCTGTAAACTCTATCTGATTTTTTGTTGACTTGTTATTAAAAATATTGGAAGAATGAAAGGAAGAGTCTTCGAACCAAGATAGACAGAAGGAGAAAAGACTTTTGCTTCATATATGCCCATTTGTGTTAACCCCTTAAACCCTAAGAGGGACCAGAATCTGATATCTCCCTACAGTAACACTCCTGAATCATTCATTAAGATCATGAGAATAAAGGAAATGATCACCCACCGGTATGAAGCTTTGATCACTAAACGAATTCTTCTTATGGGTACAATAGGATATATATAGAGAGAACAGTATGGAGAACTTACATATTGATGTTAGGGTGTAACGACTTAACGGAGTCATGTCACGTACTGCTAGGACTGTGCAAAGTATTCATAAAGTGAGCTGTTCAGGGATTTTGTGGAATTCGGACTCGCGACTTTGAGATAACATCGTATTACTCTTTACCGTTAAATCAACGAAACCATCAAGCTATGTACAACTGAACCCGCGTGGATCGATGACGTTTTAATTTTCCGTTAAATTAAAAGATTTATTTCAGTCAGTAGCATGGGTGCAAAGTTAAACGAGTTGAACTTCGTGACAGTAGAGACGCTGGCAACACAAGCCTTTCAATTTCACAGGGGCTTCATAGATTGAGATTTCTCTTCAACAATTTTGGTGTCGCAACATTCACATCTTCGCCCGCTCTATGGATGACTCTTAGTAAAGTGTTGGCAACTTGATATAGTTCATAGGTATATTCTTTAGTGAAAATTGTTCAGATACATTTAGAAATATGTGTCTTATAGGCGAAATATTTAAACATTTCTCCATATGTAATTATTTGAATAGCAGGGAGAAACAGAAGCAATAAGCTCCCCCTTTGAAATCACCGCATGAACGGCTAGTTAGCAAACTACAATTTCGAAATGAGCATAGCGACACCTTTTTTGTCATCGACCAATTTACGTGGGCTTCGTCGCAGTTAGTCCAGTAGATAGCTGCTAAGCGAGATAAGGCAAATTGTCGGCAAAAATCTAATTTTCAACTTTTAATGACAATAAAGTAGCAGTCATATTAGTGCGGGAAGATGGTGGCCCCATGATTACCGAACGGGACTCGAAAGGTGCTGGTTTGAGTCCCGTCTGGGTCACTACGCCGTGTTCTAGAGTAAAATATTTCACACTTACGGTGCCCCTCTCCGTTCAGGAATTAGAAATGGGTATCAGCACCCCATCCAAGTGAATACACCTGCTATAAGTTACTTGACGCTACAACAAAAAGAACTGTTGGAAAAAGTTGATACAGCACTCGATTTAAATTTATTTTAAGCCTGTAAAGGGATCCAAATCAGGTAGATTATCTTATCCACAGCATGCCAGAGAATTCCTCTGTCATTCACAGTCCTTAATCAGGATTTCAAGAGCCATCAAACTTGAGAAAATTGAAAATTTTTATATTGTAGTCCAGATAAATGATCAAATCTTAGAAGCAATGTGGTATGCGTTGTGCACTGGAAAAACTTGGCCAGAATATGATTACCTGTGCAATCCGTGCTAATCCTACGCATCTTTGTTTAACATCATTTCCTGGACAGTTTATTTTCGTGCGCTTAGGTTTCTATTCCCTATAAAGCTATTATTTTTACTGGCTATTTTGATGAAGGAAAATTTAAACGGAAAAATGATTCACGATATTTTTATGTCCAGTCTTATGTTAAGTGACGTACATTTGATAAGTTAACCTTAGCAGTTTTCCCATCTAGAGGCATATATTGGATCCAGCGAACACCACAATCTGTGGTGTTTAACACTACTGCAGCAATTGTACGTCACGCCATTGTACTGGAAGGGAATGGCGCAGTACTTTCCCGAAGTTGTTCGACGACGGCAAACTAAGTAACAAATAACAGCTGTAAGTGACCAGTCCGGCCGGGCCATGGACAGTTTTATTTATACCAGGCGTTATGAAACATGGCGTTATGGTTCAAATTTTTAAAACTTAGGCTAGCCCCACATTTTAATACCGCATTTTTGTGTCTGACATTTATGGCCCTTGGCACCCGGTTCACTTGAAAAGCACAAAAAGAGCTTCACGTCAAGAGCAGTTTGGATGGTGTCGGTTGAAATTTGTGGGAGCAATCACAGTTTAAATTCGAGCTGCGATGACTTGTGTGGGGCGGTTGAGGACACATGCAATCACTATCATGAAAATTTTAGGTATGTACGATCTAATCTACGTTGGTTTAGTCCGAGTGCACAGCCGTTATTTTTGTGACTTGTTGTCCTAAGCCGTCATAGTGTCATGGCTTCTTCCAGCTATCGATTTTCGCAGTATTCCTAAGGATTTCACCCCGTGGATGATCAGCTCATGGATGATCATATCTCATTCTTGAAAACAGTCTTTCGGCTTAATGAAAGAGAACTGTCAAGTAGGACAAAGCTTATTCAAAACTGAGCTTCGGTTCAATTTAAGATAATATCGACTAGGGCTCTGAAAAAATTGATCCCAAACGGGTTAGCTCGGTGTGCAAACGAATGCTTTATCGAGTTCGGTAAAACTCAGATCAACAAAAAATTATTACGACCTTAAGCGATTATTTTTTGTCGACAAGTCATCATGAGCAAGACTTCCCACGTGTGGAAAAAGATAGAAGTCATCGTTCAAATAAAGCAAACAAACAATTGGCGGTTTAAGCTAGTCGAAGAGTGTTCCGTGAAATTCTCGTACAACTACTTCTAATACAAACATATCATCTAACATTAATGTAGAAATTCCAGATGAGATTGAAATAAAATCAAAACAAAAGATCTAATTAGCAGAACTCACAATAGCTCAGCACGTGCGTTTTAAAACTGTGCCATTTCTTAGCCTTCCTCTGCGAAATAGGGACCTTAAGCAATCAGGACGGCAACGCCAAGGAAGACTCGGCCATATTAGTTTGCTCTGGTTTTGTTCAGACCAATCATACACGGGAAATGGTATAGACAACTTTCATGTCAAAGTTAACAGATCTTGTTCAATTCAAGGCCGACATATGACTTTCTCAACTGTCTCAGAACTCGCCAAATACGGAAAAGGATACTACATTATTTTGTAACTGGTTTAAAATTATGACTGATGGCTTGTTGCTAAGATTCTCTGACTAGAAAAACATCAGCAGTAAGACTTACCACATTTCATCTCTAATGGGGAGCAATATAACCCCGAGCCACATTCCGAGTCTCGGTTGCACAGGTATGGTCTGAGGATATTCTCCATGTAGTTTGAAAGTGCAAATGAAATCATATCCTTCGGATGGGAAGTATGTGTCTTGTCATTGAGATCGCATATTTTGTGCTTCTGATAGAAATTAATGCTGTGGCAGTCGGGATAATCCACGCACAGTAACGTACATTCTTCTATCCTCTCAACTGGTCTGGTCGCAATTGTGTGGTTCTTCAGGACTCGTCCTCGTATAGAATAAGATGCGTCACACCGATTCGCCGATGTTGTAGGAAACCAATAGATTATAATAAGGAGGCCAGTCCTCATTCCTGTAGAAAATTAAAAGTATCGAAATCGCGATATTTTACTTTAGTTATTCACCGTCGTGGAGGTGAATAGGGGTGGAAATTTTATCGAGCTGCGAAGTGGCTCGGAAAGTATCCACGACTTCCATAGACGCTGAGGTAGATAATTGTTTTTGTATATACTGACATCGAAAAAATATCATCCATTCATTCCGGTTAATACGCCGCAAAATGGTCGGAAATTGAACTCTTGACGCGCGATTTTGTCTCTTTGACAACTGCTCGGAGATAAAAATGCTTGCTAATAACTTCCGAACTAGCCAATTAACACTGGTGAAAAACACTATTTACCCATGCGGATGAAATACTGATGATTAACATTCCTTTTAGAAACAAGAGACAACTTTTTGAAGACATGTTTCTACTTGGGTTTTTTTTTTTTCGATTGGACCAACCTTTATGACAATGATAATCATGCCGGATAAAGGAAATAAAAACTTGGGTCATTGCACTGTAAATTCCAAACAGGGACATGAGAGATCATGTCTTTCATTTCTTTCATTGCCCTGGAAACTTGCTGAAATCCCATTTCACCTCGTTAATATTTAAGTATTACGTGTCAGGTGTCGCACGCGCCTTGCTACATAATCATATTTGTTTTCTATTGTGCTTCGATAAAATACAAGGTTTCTTGAATAAATAGAGTAGAATATTTATTTCCTCTTCGATCATGCTATCACAGAAGCACACTTTTCTCACTTTCAGCAAAATAATTTTCATGCTATTTAAGTAAAGAGTATTTTTATGAAATGTTTGTTTTCATGTCACCCTAGGTGATATGCTGGTAGTTCTGTTTTTGCAGCACAGTGGATAAGAAGAGTTCAGATTCAGCGAACACAATTTATTTTAATCTGACACCCTCATAATGTCGGACTGTAGCGGGTACAACTATATTACAGGTTTCACAGAACATTCTCGTCCTTTTTTTCCAATAATATACTCAAAGAGAGATTTTACTGTATGCAAGAGTCGGAAAGTGTATCGACTGTAGGACGAAAATTTATATTTCAAGGAACCCAGATGTTGGTGTTTTGATGCTTGGGCAATGGTAGACAATATAGCCGAAACGAGTATAAACGAAAAGAGGCTAGTGAAGGTAGCGAAAAAAATGCAAAAGGACAAATTGGTACAACTAATGCATTAAGTGAAAACTTCCATTTCAAAAAACTAAGAAGAATTCTTGTCAATTCCCAATACTTAAAATGTGTGAAAAATGGCGCCGAGAACTAATCTAAAAAATAAGTGGATTAAAAGTAAGAATAAATAATAACGAAATAATCTTACCACCCAAATGGGATAGCAGAGATTTAAGAAGTTCGAACAAGTAGAGACGGCAACCACGAAATGAAGTACCAGCAGTTGGAAAGAGCATTTTGATTTTGAAGTCTTTAGCCTGCCTCCTGGATCGCTTGGACGAAGGGCTAACGCTCAGCTTTTAAACTCTTTACGGTGGCCAATTACCTGTTATGCTCTCCCACTGACGCAGCGCCGCAGTTTCTTTAGAAACTTACCCCTTTTTTTTTTTTTTATGTTTCAATTTGTTGCCTTATCCATCATAGATTAGGTGCAAAAATTTGTTAATATTTGATAGGCAGTAAACAGTTCTCAGATTACGCGTGAGGTGTCGCACGCACTTTGTTACGTAATCATAAATGTTTTATTATACTTGGCTAAAATACAGGGTGTCTTGAATAAATAGAGTAGAATATTTATTTCCTTTTTTTCGGTTACGCTATCATAGAAGCATCTATTTTTGACTTTCGTCAAATAATTTTCATGCTTTTAAAATAAAGAGCATTTTTGTGCTGGTGATATCGTAAGTCATTTTTCCTCTGATTACATTTAAGCGGCGCAGACACCAGAATCGAGCCTCTATGTACCACTGAAGATATATGAAATGAAAGCAGCGTTGAGCTTATGAAGACGTTTCGTAACATTTTATTGATAGGATAATTGCTAGCTAGCCTACGTATTAGAAATAAATAACATCTAGTCCGAAGTGAGAAAGACGTCTTTGTGTCTAAAATTAAACTGGCTAGATGAGTTTTTCTGCAATTTCATTTCCCGTTCCCAAAATAACTTGAAATGTTTGTTTCCATGTCACCCTAAGTGACATGATGGTAACTCTGTTTTTGCCGCAGAGTGGATAAGAAAGGTTCAGAGCTTCAGCGAACACAATTTATTTTAATCTGACCCCCTAATAATGTCGGACTGTAGCGGGTACCACTTATAATCATAGAGAGATTTTACTATATGCAAGAGTCGGAGAGTGCATCGACCGTAGGACGAAAATTTATATTTCAAGGAACCCAGATGTTAGTGTATTGATGTTTGGGCAGTGTTAAACGATATAGCCGAAACGAGTATAGACGAAAAGAGGCTAGAGAAGGAGAACGAAAAAGCAGATGTGAAAGGACAAATTGCTACGATAAACACGCTTAACGAAACCTCCCTTTCAAAAAACTAAGGAGAATTTTTGTTAATTCCCAATTCTTAAATAGTAAGAAACATGGCACCGAGAACTAAATCTAAGAATAAAAGTAAGAATAAATAATAACGAAATAATCTTACCACCCAAATGGGATAGCAGATATTTAAGAAGTTCGAACAAGGAGAGACGACAACTACGAAATTAGGTACTAGCTGTTGTGGAAAGCATTGTTGATTTTAAAGTCTCTAGCCTGCCTTCTGGATTACCGATGAGCGCGGGTAAATTCATCAACACGTATAACTTCCCATGTTAACGGGTGTTTCTTAATGTTAGACTATACAATTTTATAACAAGACGATCTAAGATCGTAAGTCTGGCTACAGGTAGACGCGCTGTTACAAGTGATGACCACTGACGGTGCGCAGTGGTTCTAAAAGAAATACAGAGGTACCATGTGTTGAAGTCCTAAATGTAATAACTGTCCTAAATGTAATAAAGTCCTAAATGTAATAACATTTGGTCCTAAATGTAATAACGTTCGGTCCTAAATGTAATAAGCCTCCTATGCAATCGTTTAACTGCGCTAACATTGAGATGTTAAAGTGACAGCTGTTGCACCAAAGAATCCTCTGACCAATATTTATGGAATATTGCGGGCTCACTGATATTAATCAGCGGCTTTTTATTTGTCAAAGACGTAGGTTGAGAAGCATTGGCTACAAAACCTTATTCTAATACTGATGTGCTTTTGGAATCAAAATGACGGACGCAAAAGCAACGAGAACGTTGACTAATAGCTCTCTCTATATCATTGGCTCAGACTCTTAAGTGTAACAGATTTTGACGAAATACTTCTGTCCCAGTGCTGAAGTTAACACTTGATGAACCATATAACAAGGATTACAAGGAAAAAGAAGTCCACCGACTTATATATTAGACAAATTCTGGGCTCAGAAGGGCATTTTTGTACTGTCTTACCTTGCCAGATTTGTACGGGTTTGCATAAAATATATTCATATGCGTTATTGACCGAACGTGAGGTCAAAATGGCTATATATTGGCCGACTTCTTTTTTTTTTTTGCGTTTTTATGGACTGAGACGAAGTTACAGTCCATAAAAAAGTAGAAAAAGAACGAGGCTAATATCCAGTAATCTTGACCATACAAGAGAGTTTATATTCTCTTGGCTTAATCATTAAAGGATTCATTGTATAGCAAAAGATTTCGCTTTGATAAGAATCAAGAATGGCCAGTTTATTTCGAGAGCCGATAGTGAAAGCCAACCGTGTTTGCAGCACAATAAATCCAAGAGGGTCGTTTATTTTTACGTTCGACGAAGGAAGAACGCTTCCTAATCTCCTGGGCTACCTGTGATCGCGTAGGTGTCCTGTGCACGTAAGCGAAAGCTGACCCGTATTTTTTCGTTCGATCGGCCGGCCGTTCATCTTTTCAGCGCCATTTTGAATGACGTCACAATTTCGTTGCGCAAAGGATGTAGCCTTTAAAACCTTTTCGTACACAGAGTAAATACAGGTTTCACAATACGCCATAACCATTTATTTGACAACATACCATAGGCATATTCATCTATCCCAATAACCAAAAAACAATATTTCCCCTTTGAAATGCCGAACGCACTTCCCTAATCTCCAATTACTACTAGTTTCTATGTATATATGAAAACATTGTCCAAAAGTTACGAACTTTGTAAGTTTCTTGCGTGGGATCAATACGGGGGATCCCGAACGGGCGAGGGTGGGCCCACCATGCCCGCTCAGGTAGCCAATCAGAACACAGGATTCACTTCATCTTGCCCGCGTGCGCTGCTAGCTATATGATAATGTGACTTGCAGAGCAAGATGTCGACTGACCAATGATATTTTATCCCATTTCACAATCACAGGTCTCGACATGTTGCCTTTTTTCCACGCAAGAGTCAAATTGAACCATTGAGCTACACCATTTAACACATGATGGTCAGTTGGCGGTCTAATGAACCATTCATTTTTTTCCTTTAGCCCCTTATGACGGGTTCATCAGTTCCCGAACCGAAATATTAGGAAAACATACATTTTAAAGTTGATCTCAAGTTTATATTTCATTTTTTGTCTTCACCTCTTCTCCCCGCCGTGAGGGGAGAAAATGAATAGATAAATATATGAATGAAAAAAGAAAGCTCAACAGTTTCCACTTATAGTCATATGGTACATGAACTGATTACTGAGGTGGAGTAAAGCCATAGAGGGCTGGAAATGCAACACCCCAGGTTAAAAATTGAATAAATCAGGATAGTCATTCTTAAAAATGAACTCAAATGCTTCATTAGAATCAATTGACACTGAATAACATTGATGTGCAAAATTTCAATAACGCTACTGATAATAATAATTTTCTTTTGGATTAACATGTGACACAGCGAAATCATTCAAACTGCTCTAAAATGGTGCATCACTTCTAAAGACTTTAACACGAGCGATAACATCAACAATAGCATGCTAGTTCATCATCAATTGTAGTAA